TAGTAATTTTTTAATATATTCTGTTTTTTTTTTGTTACTAAACAGGTTTTTTATATAATTCTCGAATCCGGAATATATTGCGAAAATTCTTTTAGTTTTTAATTTTCGTTCGTTTTTTATATTTTTTAAATAGTTTTTTAAAATTAGCTCAAATTATTTTAATACTGTTTTTATTAAAAATTACGCCGTTATTATAATCTTTTTAACGTTTATATTAATAATATTAATATATTAGCTTATATATAGACGTGTTTAAATAAAAAACGATTTAATATTTATAACTCCGTTATAAATTTTAAGAAATGTGGGTTTAAATTTTTTAATATTTATTATGTTTATATTAAACGCTCGTATTATTAATAATGTTTGTTTTAGTTATTTGCCTATTGATCTGGATAAAACTGTTATATTTTATTATAGTAGTACTGGTTTTTTAATTATTTAAATGCTATAGTTCTAGGTCGATTTTTCGTAAGTTTGTGTACTAAAATCGATAAAAGGTTCTTTTTTTTTTTTAAATTTTTTTTGTTTAAGTTTTTATCGTTAAAATCGTCGTTAAAATCGTTATTATTTAAGTTTTTTAGAGCTTTTTTTATAAGCTCGTTGTCTAAAGGTAATTGTTGTTTTATTTAAGGTTTAAAAATTGAAAATATAATGTTTAAATCCGTTATTATAATCGTATTTTTAACTTGTTTTTGTGATTATTTTATAATAAGAGCACTTATTGTTGTTTATTTTTTTATTTCCTGTTTTCTAATCTTAGGTTTTATAACTTGTAAGTGAGTTTTTTAAAGCATCCGTTTGTTAGTTTTTCGTAACTAGGGTATTTTTTAAATATACTTTTTAAAATCTTTTTTTTTATAATTTTTTATTACTTAGGACTTTTTTATACCGATATTTGTTTATTTATATTAAATTTTATTAATTAAAAAACTATTAAAGTATAACGGACCTTTTATATAATAATATAAAAATACGTACAAGGTTTTAATTTATAAATAATAATAAAAACTTAGTAAATATCCGTTAAAAAATTTTTAAAATACTTTCTGTTATTTTACAATAAAGGCAATTGATTCTAGGTAAAAAATGTATTATTTAATAAAAAAGTAAATTAATAATTAAAGAACAAAAACGAGTAACTAAATACAAAAAGAATTATAAAACTATATAGAATTTTTTAATAACCGTAAATTATAAATATTTTCTTATAATCTTAGATCAATTAAAATCTTTCTTTTTTTGTAATCTTAGATCAATTAAAATCTTTTTTTTTATATAATTTCAGATTAATTAAAATCTGCTTCCGGGGTTTAGCCGGGCTGTTTAAATAATGTTAAATTATCCTTGTTACATTGTAACATTACGTTTTTTTTATAATTATTATTAAAATAATTAAAAAAAACGTTATTTATTATAAATTATATAATAATTTCGATTTTTTATAAATCGATAAAATTATAGTTTTATAAAATGTTTTTTAATTTTTTTATATTAACGTATTATAATTAAAACTAATAAATAATTAATACGTCCGAATTAAAAATTAAAAATAAATTAAATTAAAAAAACGTTTAATAATTAATAAAAACTTTTTATAATTTCGTCGAAATTATTTAAACTATATTAAAAAATACGTAAAAACGGGAATTAAAAAAAATTAATTATTATTATTAAAAATTAAATTTTAATATAAATAATAAAATATTTATTATAAAAAAAACAGTTTTAATTAATAAATCGTTTTTTAAATAAGTTAAATTATTTTTTTATATATTAATATTTCGAAATTATCGAAAAAACAAGTTTAATTTTTTTTTAATTTAAAATTTTTTTAAATTAAAAATTAACTAATTTATATTATACGGACCGGTTATAATTATATTTTAATAATTTATTATTAAATTAAAAAATAAAACAATTTAAAAAAAATTATAATTTCCGAAAAAAATTAAAAATAAAAAATCGAAAAAATTAAAATTTTTAAACTATATTATAAAAAAACGTTATAATATTAAATAAATTAAAAAAGTTAAAATTTTAATAATTAATAATATTTTATAAATAATTTTAAAAAAAATTTAAAAATTTTTTAAAAATTTTATAAAAATAATTTTTCGTTAATAAAATTATTAAAACGATTAAAAATATAATTTAAAACAGTTAAAAAAATAAATTTAAAAAAAATTATTTAAATAACGATTTAATAAAACTATAAAAAACAAAAAAAAAATTACGGAAATTTAAATAAAAAAAAACATAAAAAACTTTATTTTATATATAATTAATATTATAAAAACCCGGGCCGATTTTTTTTTTTAATTAATAAATAATTAATACGTTATATAACGATTATTATAAAAAAATACTTATAAAATATAAATAAGCTTTAATAAAAGTTAAAATTAATTTATATTTAAAATAAAATATTAAATAAATTAAAACAATATAATAATAAAAGATTAAATTATTAAAAAGTTTCTTTTAATAATTAAATTTTAAAAACTAATTAAAGTTTAAATTAAATAACGAAAAAAAAATAACTAGTTATATAAAAAATCAGTATAAATTATATAAATATTTTTTTCGTTTTTTTAAATAAATAAAGTTTTAATTATTTTTTAAAACGTAAACCTTAAATTATTAATTTATTAATAATTAAATAATCCCGACTAAAGATTATTTCTTATAAATAATTTTAATTCCGGATCATTTTTAATACCGTGATTTTAAATCACGTGTTTATACACTTTTTTATATATATATTCGTTTATTTTATTATTTATTCGATTTTTTTAACCGTTATACCCCGCGTTAAGCCTGTTTAATAAGTCTTTTTTTTATTAATTTATAACACGTTAAAAGTTTAATTTTTATTATATATTATTTTATTGTTTTTTTTTAAAAAAATAATTATAACAAATAATTATTTTAATAATTTAATATATTAATTATATTTAAATTTAATTAACTTATAAAATTAATTAACTTTTCGATTAATTTTTCGATTAAAATTATATAATAATACGTAATTTAATAATTATAACTTTATTAATTAATTAACGTACGTATAATTATTTTATATATAATATATATAAACTTATAAATAAACTTTTTTTATTTTTTAATTATAAATTTAATATAATAAATTAATTAATATAATAATTTTAATTTTAATTATAAATTTAATTATAAATTTAATATAATAAATTAATTAATATAATAATTTTAATTTTAATAAAAAATTTAATCGTAATAATAATTTAATAAAATTCCGAACGTTAAAATTAAATATAAAATATATTTTAAATTATTTAAATATTCGAATAATATTTTTTATTATAATTCGGGTTATAAAAAAAACGGGGAAAAAATAAATTTAAAATTATTTAAATTAAAAGTTTTAAAATATAAAAAAGTATTTTATATACGTTTAATTAAAAAAAAGTTTTTTAATTAAATTATTCGGATTATCGGGTTAATTTTAAAACGAATCCGGGTTAAAAATAACCCGTTTACGTTAATTAATACCGAAATCGGGTTAAAAAAACCGTAATACGTTTTTAATATAAATAATAATTTTTAATTTTTATATTTTAAATAATTTAGTTTTTTATAAGTTTTAAAATACCGGCAGTATATATATTTTTTTCAATATATATTTAAACCGGATTTTTTTTCGTAATTAAAATCGTTTTACTAGTTATATATTTAATTTATTAAGTTAAATTTATTTTATTTCGAATTATTAAAAAGGTTTAAACGCGGGGCGGATTTATTATTAAATTTTAAAATCGTTAAATTTAAATAATTATATTTTTATTTTCGGTTTTATTCCGATTATAAAACTATTAAATAAAAAGTTATTAAATAATATTTTATTTATATTATTATATATAAAATAATTAGTTTTAATTCGTAATATATATTTAATATATATATTATACGCGCGAAATCGTTTATTATTAATATTACGTATATTTAATTTTTAAACAATTAATAATAAATCGTTATAAATATAAAAAAATAATAAATTTAAATTTTAATATTTAATTTATAAGATTTAAAATAAAATAAAATAATACGTATAATAATATTACTTATTATATTTATATATAAAACTATAATAGTTTAAAAAATATTATATATTTTAATTTTTAATTTAATTAAGTTTATTAATTCGAATTTATTTTATTATATTACCGCGATTTATTTTTAATCGATTTTAAAAAACAAAATAATTATTTTTTAAATAATAAAAAATAACTTATAAAATTTATCGAATTCGTAATTTTAATTTAAACCGTAAAAACGTCCCGTAAACGAAATTATTAATATATCGAGTTAAATACGTTGATATTTTTTTTTTTTTCGAAACGTAAAACTCGGAAAACGCGTTCGTGTTATATAATTTTTTCGTTCGTAAATAAAACGTTGTTTATTATATTCGTTTTTAACCGTTTTTTTACTAATTAACTCGAATTTTTATTAATATTATTATTAATTAAAATCGAAATTAAAAAACTTTATATCGAGTTAAAAATCGGAATTTAATTATTTATTAATAATTAATTCGAAAAATTAAAAATATTTATTAAAAACAAGTTTATAAAAAAGTTTTTTTAACTCGGTTTTAAAACGTTATAATATAATAATTTAACTTTTTAATAAAAATAAATAATTTATAAGATTTTTAATTTAATAAATAAATCGCGTAAATAAATAAAATTTATTATAATTAAAATTTTTCGTTATATTCAAGTTATATTTTATTTAATTATATAATATTATAAAAAAAAGTTATATAATAAGTTTTTATAACTTTATAAAATTATTTATATATTATTAAGAGTTCTTTTTAATATGAATACTTAACGATTTTATTAGAGAAGCTGCTTGATAAGCCCGGCGCTTAGTAACGCCGGCGCGATTCAAGTATGAGCACACCTAGTGCAGGGTACTTAGATAACAAAGAAGCCCTGCAGCTTTAACAATCAGCCGGTTGGTTAGCTCAGTTGGTTAGAGCGTCGTACTAATACAGTTCTGCTGTATCAAGTAATGCGAAGGTCATGAGTTCGACCCTCATACTGACCATTTGTAAACTTTTTTGCTTTTACAGCTTCTATTTTGTTTCAAAGTGATCTATCCTTTTTATGACTGCAGTAGCTATAACTTGAAACGGTCTGCGTTATTGCACTTCCCCTATGCTTGAAACACAAGCAGTGAGCCATTATTTTTGCGGTCAATATGACCTGAATACCTACTTACCCTACATCTTAGTCCGGATCCCGTCTTCGGAGTAGGGGAAGGACCTATAATCCAACACCAGATGGTCAAGTCCGGTAGGTAGGTTTCACTACTGCGTAAGTACGGAGTACATAGCACTCATCTCGCACGCCATATCACGATTGGCAACAACCACCACTACCGGTTGCACCAACCTGCCCAAAAGAGCTGTGGAAATAACCAAGGTGGCAGCTTGGTTATTCCTAGTGGTTTATATACGGGATTCCAGGTGCTGGACCCATGGGCTACACCACCTGTTCAGTGTTGGGCCAGGACCCCGCCAATCCCGTGACTCGCCACGCCAGTGGGGACCGGCATCTGAGCCTTGCCTCCTTTACACTAGCCCAGGTGGAGCATATCCGTTTTCGGTAAAACTAAGTGGATACCCCCACCAGAGGTGTGATACTGGTAGCACAACGTCAACTCCATCATCATCATCACCAATTATCTCTGCATCGGTCAGCTGTCAGTTTAATACGGCCCACCCGCGACAAATAATTTCAGCATGGATGCCACTTATAGTTCTAGCTACATAGATGGAATGATTTCCTGTGGCTAGAATTACTGAGTGTCAAGAAAGACCCTATACGTACAAGCTTTCTTATAGGAAAGCGCGAAGACCTGTGGTCCTGTATTATCAACCCCATCGAATGGTTGAAGTATACGGGGTCCAAGGCCTGTACTACATTTCACAACACTTCTTTTTAGTATGATCACTCAAATATATAGTTCTGTGCGAGGAGAAATCATAAGTCAATGCGCGAATCCATTGATACCTAGGTGAATCATCTAGGAAGAATAGACAGAATAGACAGTGTGTTTAGGTAGTTTCTATCTATCGTACACGCCTTGGCAAATCATTCATCCAGACGATTCAGTACCCATTTTCATGTCCTCGTTTCCGACTGTACAACATGGGCGTATATTCGATTTCGACGTCCATTCTAGCCCATGAGTGGTACTCCGTGAGCTTTGTCCCGAGCTACCTCGTCCAGATATTCGCGCAATTCGGCGCTTCCCCGTCCGACCATACCTCCTGGCTCCAAGGAAATCACTTCGATGGCAGCTCTGACCTTTCCCCGGAAGTTGACATGCCACTCGTACCCGGTATACGTTGTGCGCTCGAGGAGATCGTGCTTCTCAGACCTGGTCAGGCTGCAGACCTGCACTGGTTCCGGTACGTGGTTCTCGGTAATGTATGTCTTTGACGCGGCCGTGGTTGTGGTCAACAGCTCCGGCACATGAGCCAATCCGATTAATCTTTGCAAGTCCGCGGGGGTGGAAAGAGGCGATCCCGCCCTGATGATGATCGGGAAACCGGGGTCGGGCGTGCACAGACCGGCGTTATGGGCACGTCGTGCATCTTCCCAGGCTTTGGCGGACCATGGGGATTGATATGTCGGCTGCTCTTCGGTCTGTGCTTGACCAGCCTCCGTTTCTCGGTTGTCCGACATGCTCAGAAGACAGCTGCGTGGAAAAATGGGTGGGAGAATGGTCACAACTCTGGTATCCTCAACGATAGGAATAAGCTCGGTATTGGGCCTGTTGCTGGATGGTGGTAGTGTTTAGCTGTTTTGTGTTGCAAGGCGGAGTCAGCGGCACAACCGAATCTGGGGAAGTGCGAGGCTAAAGATGTTGATGAGGCAGCGCCTACCTTTAAGTAGCCTACCTAGGTACTTCCGTGGATCTTTTAATCGGCGTCGCGTCTGTGTAACGTCGTATGTACCTAGGTATTAATACACATATCACTGTAATTACCTTGTGTACATGCATACATATATGTAGGTATGTATGTAGGTAGGTAATAGGTATGTAGTTGTTTGGTGGGGTGTTTCCAAGTTCCGTATTAAGTTTGGTATTGATACAGCAAGCACTACTTAGGTATTAGCAATTGTTGTCAGGCGTCCAACTCATAATTACCCTATGTAGCTATTAACAGAAGACCAGCTTGGCTTGAATTTAACAAATAGTCGAAGTTATCGGTAGCTCCCTGGCAAGAACGACATAGCACATGATATATAACACACCCCTAAATAGATGATTCCCATGATTATGTTACGGTAGTAAAATCGGCTGCGGGTGGGAATTAGAAAAGGGCAAGTTGCAAGCAGGCTTGCTAAGATGATTGCAAATTAGCGATCTCAAATAATGGCATGGCACAAACCCTCGTTCTAATCCCCGGACAACTAAAAAAGACACCCAGTCCCCCTCGCTCACAGCCGCAACTGTCTTCACTTCACCTACCTTCACGTGTGAAGTGATATTTTCCAGGATGGCACCAACGGTACCCTCTCGTTTATCTTTGGAATGGAGATGAAAATGCTCGTCATGCCAAATGCCGAATTTATGCCAACCCTGAGATTGCTAGAGTGGGATGAATTAGTTGCCTCTGGTTCATGTAAGCAAACATGCCCGTGCAACGAATTGACGGATTCGGGCATGGAGTGCTCTAAACATAAAAATCGCGCCGCTCTACGACAAGCCATTGCGAATGAATTAGACGAGATAGGGATCAGCTGTTGACCCGGAAGATTGAGCAAATCGGAAGCGCCCGGGACCTTCATCGCTCGCCGCGCCGACTTGCTCGACTCCCGCAGCATCCAAAAGTCAATTGTGGCGCGTACGTCGGTGATCCACTCGTATGACATCCAGAAGCATGGCGGCGGCGAGGAAGGTTGGCCTTCTAGACTCTTGACCAGCACGCGGCGCTTTTGATCGTCAAGACCGACAATCAGCGCCGCGTGGGTGCGGAAGCCTTTTGTCGGATCTGGCCCAGCCAAGCGGCACTCTGCTGGAATCATAGCAATGGTCGGGTAGCCCTCGTCGCCCCCGGCCGTCGATGGTGGGACGCTCTGGAACATGGGCCAGAAGAGATGGAATGCAAAAATGACCGGGTAGCCCTCTATCAGGCATTTCTTGACGCCGGACAGTGTTACAAGTCCAAACGCCTTAAGTTCATCACCCCCGAGTCCTTCCAAGTTGGAGGGGTGCGGATTGGCATCAACTCGGTTGCATTCGATATACGGGCCGGCCCCAGCTATGTGGTATACGGCATGGGGAGGGCGGTCGTTGATGCCAACAACCACCCGGCTCTCGCCATTCTTGAGTGTTTGCTGTTCCTCCCAGGACCAAATGTCCTCGGCCGCCGCTCCGAATATGCTCACAGCCCGTGCAGCGTGACGTATTCGCACACCTTTGTCCTCGACCGCATCGGGCCACATTGTGGGATCTCCGCCTTCTCGGTCCATCAGCGCCAGAGCCCGGGCGTTGAAGTATAGGAAGCGGCGGGACGGCCTTGCTGGCAGCCTACCATGACTGCTGCAAAGGGCGAGGAAACGTGTAGCGGCCGTCACGAGATCCACCACGCACGAGCCCGTAAGAGGTTGATCTGTCTTAAACGCCTCAGGCACAGTTTTCAAGAGGTTGGCGACCTGCATGTCATTCTTGTGCGTCGGCTCCCCGAGGTAGACGTAGCGTGGATCAGCACCATCGTAGCCGTCCGGGATATAACCTGGGTGTTGAATACCGACCATGACTGTGGGAACTAGAGAGAGCGACTGTCGAACTGCCGCGTCCAATTCGATTCACTTTGCCATGAAACGACTATGATAGGCTTTGCGGCAACGTAGCCACGCCGAAGCCTTCGCCATAATTATAGCATCTGAAGGTTGCAGTAGAGATTCAACAGCGAAACAAATGGCCTCATAGGAACCCTGGCCACAGTCAACATTGACACTGTATACCGGATGTGACCCGTATGTGGAGTTATAGTCTTAGTAGGTATTTATCCCACCAAATTTTTCAGCTGCTCGCTGTCCTTGACCGCGATGCTGTATAGACCGATCTATAATAGAGGTAAAATGGCTAGTGATTATACTGTAATTTCTCTGCTCTTGAGCTAAAATGAATACTGTTTCGTTGCGTTGATAGGCACGGTGGCAGGTGTGAAGACCGCGATAGGTAAATTGGTAGAAGCGAAGATGTAGATTGGAGGGATGGGAGGTTTGAAGGGCTGGTTGTGTTGAATTGAAAACGGACAAAGGGTGCCCCGATAGCTTCTAAATATATACGAAGTGCTCTATTAAAAGATTTAAGGTTACTAAATAAGCGTCGCAGTCTCACAGCCAAGTCTTTTGGCCATCTAGCGCAGTAGGTAATTACCAACAACCAACAATAGCAACGCCCTTTAATTTTGCAAGACTTCGTGTAGACAATCATCTTCTCAAGTTTATACTGCACTATTGTTTATGACCACTGCTTTGCCTCTTCTTGTTCTGTTTGCTGTATCGAAATGCCGTTCACATTGGATAAATCGACCATATCACTACTCTGTATTGGCTTTGCAACTACTGCGTACTTTGCGACTCGAATGATGTCTAGCCACGATCCGCGGGAGCCGCCTCTAGCTCCACAGTCTATTCCGTTCATTGGGCACCTTCTTGGAATGTCGCGTGGCAAGTTCAACTACTATGTCGATCTCAGGTATAATCAGCTTCAATTTCGATGCTTAAATGAATTTCCTTCTCACTGTCCAAAGTAAATCGGTAGATTCTCCCATTTTTACCATGCCTCTTCCGGGGCAGAAGATGTACGTTGTCACGAAGCCAGACCTCGTCTTGGCGGTCCAGAAGCAGCATCGAACACTTGCATTCCCACCTATCGAGGCCAAGTTTGCATCCACGGTGTGTGGCGCGAGCCAAGAAGCGCAGGCGATTCTCGCTAAAAATGTAAATGGCGACGATGGCGACTTCGGACTGTCGATGGAATCGTATGCTGCCATGCGGGCCGCTCTCAAACCTGGTGCCGAC